AATCATCCTTTATGAAAGCACGGGCGTTTCCTACTTTAAACGCCCATAATTGAGAAACCAGAACAGCGGATGTTAAAAGAGTTATTTTTCCCTTGTAGAATGACGAGAGATTTTATTCTTTTATTACTAGAAGAGAGGCGAGGATTTATATATGTCCTTTGTACTTTAAGTTAGTCGCGTCCTTCTTGCCAAAAGAAGCGGATGAAAATTTTAACCTTTAAACGGAGGACATTTTTCAATGATTTGCCTGCTGAGAAATGTAAAAGTTTGAGGAAATTACTTGCCCTTCGCTTACCTGCTGTATTAAAAGGATAGTTAGTCAATGTGCAATTGATGAAACAATTTATTCGCGTTTTTTCAGTTTTTGCATTCAAACACAGCTTAACATACTTATAAGCATTCAAACACAGTTAAAGGTTAACTGATTTGTAATTGTGTTCAAGAACATATCGTTTTAAAATGCTTTTTATTTTTACAGATACGTTTTTTGCTTCTTATTATTTTTCTTAATGAGACAATAAATTACTTTATTTTCATTTTTTAGATGTTTACTAAAAAGAACGCTATATACCGGAAAAAAATTTCATTGCAAATTCTGCTTCTCTTCAATTTGTATTTTAAAATTTAAAGTTTTGGGAAAAATGGAGATCAGGTAAAGGCTAGAGTCAGTGGCATGGTTTTAAAGAGGTTTTTTTTCGGGGGAAGGGGCTAAACTCCCTCCTAAATTGCATATTAATCGTTTAATGTGCTATTGTATGGTAAGTAGGATGTAGATATAAAAAAGCCTCCATTATTAATATACATATATATATATATAATGAAAGAGACATTTCAAAATAAATAAAGATTAATTATAGTAAGATCAAAATCATTCATTCTTACATTATATGTTAGACGAAAATAAACCCCTTCCCCAAAACATACATTAAAAATACGCCACTGCCTAGAATAAACCATGAAGTTTCAAATGTTAAGAAACCGTTCAAAATATTGATATATAATATTGTTTAGTTGCAAGCAAACTATGGTACGATTATTTCTTAACTATACCTAATCCTGCCATAGTTTGTTTTTCGTTTGCTATTTTGAAAACACTTTTTCGGAATTAGAAATTTCATAGTTGACTCTAGGTTTACCTGAACTCACTATACCCATACTTATATAAACCTTACTATACCTATACCCAACTTATACCTATATTATAAATCTATACTGTAAATATATCTTGCTTATAGCTATATAAACATATTATGTAAATACCTAACTTACACCTATATTTATATAAACATATACTATATTATACATATACCTAACTAATACCTTTACTTATAGAAACCTATACTCATATAAACCAATGGAGGTTAAATAGTATAGTGCCCTTTTACGATCATATTGTTTTGCTATAGAAAATGAATCCTTAATAAAATATGATCGGAGTTTATTAATGATACTATTTTAAAAAACTTTCGATGAACAGCCTATACATGTATTGGATTTAACAAAATAAACAGATACTTTGGTATCCTTGTCCTTTCTACCTGAGTCCCGATTCAAAAACCAAGGGAGCTATGTAAAATGTCTAAAATTAATTTTCTATGAGATCTTTTTGTGAGAAATTAAACCATTTAGTTAGGAAAACTACAAAATCCTTCCACAGTTATGCCGCCTGCAACTTCTGACTAACAATACTAAGAATTTCATTCTTTTTTCTAAATGTCAAAAAGCTTGTATTTGTGGAATATATATTTCAGTACCTGGAAATTTCCAATACTTAACCTGTTAAATGAAAATTTAATTTAAACGATTTGCTACAATTCTCGCTTTTTTAATTATGTTAAAATTGTGGCATAATTTGAACAAGAAATAAACTGAAGAAACTGAGCGATTTTCTGCATTATATCTATATGCAGAAAATATATGCATTATATGCACATATATGCATCATATGCGATTTTCTGCATAAGAGAGTTAGAAATCTAAATAAGTTTTATGATAATTTTGAATCAAACTTTCTACCTCCTTGACAAGTATCAGCCTAATAAAACAAAAAAGTAACGATCTTTCAAAACATTTTGCAAAAAGTAAAGATAAAAAAAAAGTATGCACAGTAGTGGTCTCGCAAATTATATTTAAGCGAGGATGAACCGATTTCAAAATCTCAGAAATCACTATTGAGGGGGGGGGGCTGTACAAAGCATCAAAACCTACTTGATTGCCGGATGAGAGAGTGAAAGATGGTTCTTAGAAACACTTTCAAATTTCAAAAGAAAACACTCCGCCTTCCACAACAGTGATTTTTCCTCTATTATATACTTATTTGTGACCAGAAATGTGAATACTTTTTGTCTTCTTTCATTAAATGATTCTAAAAACTATATACTTCACGCGGTTACTACACATATATTCACCCTCTATACATGTCTGGCAATCTTGTTGTGAAAAAATTTTTAAATCATTCTTAAAAAATTTTCCGTCCATGTAAGTACATCATCTGATTTCGCTACTTCTTTATAGTCTATGTTTTATACTGTTTTTTCTCTCTATTTTATTTCATTTTCTGTTTTTACATGTTATTTTTACTTATTGTGTTCTATTTTATTTGTTGTAATTTTTGTAAAAAAATTTTTTTGAGTGCTCCTCACACTATTGTATTAATATATTTTACTTTGGCTATATTAATACAGTATCAGAAAGCACTCTTTTTTGCGGATATAATCGTGTGAGCTGATGAAAAGATTATATCTTTTTTTCCCCGGTTTTTTTTAAAAGTAAAATTTCATCCTTTTTTTTCGTTTTTTTTAAACTGTTGTTTGTTATTTTTTTACTTATTATTCCCCCCCCCCTTTTTTTTTCATATGTCTATAATTTTTCTTTGTTTTATCTTCATCTGTAACTGTATTCTCTTTGTATCTTCATCTGTATATATATATATATATATAATGTGTAATATCCCGGCGTTTAGATTACTACTGAAAAGAAGGAGATTATTCCCCAAAATATATTGAACATTTGGAACAAATTTTTTTGTTTGAATTCTATATTTATTATCACAAATTAACGTAGAAATAGATCAGTACACAGCGGGAAACAGACTAGCAGTGGTTTTCGATTTTATGGCATGACGCTCCCCAGTCACCTGCCATAACTCCCCCCTCCCCATAAAAATAATCCCCCTTCCCTTTTCCGGAGGGTCACGTGATGTTTAGAGCCCCGTTTCCCACGCCACGTTAAAACATCTGGCTACCCGCAGTCAGCTGAGAGGGCAGACGAGAAATGCATAGAAAAAAGAAAAAAAGAAAGAAGAACCAAAACAAAAACATTGAAGTAGCTAGAGTGGAAAGAAATCAGCTGGTTGTTCTGCTACTTAGTTGTGAACCAATCAGAGAAGAGATAGACTAAAAAATCTCTGTTGCTAAGCTCTGGATTCTGAGTTTTTGTTTGGGTTTCGCTTTGATGTAAACAAATTCACGTATTTCATTCGTTAAATTTTAAATGGCATTTCTATGACTTTATTAGTTTCCTTTTAAAACTAATATAGATTGATTTGGTTTGAATATTTTCATTCTAATGTTAATTTTTATTAATAATAGAGTAGGACTTCTTAAATTTCTCACAACATTTTTTTAATGTAAAACGAAAAAGTATCTGATAAATAAATTACCATTAAAAATATGTAACAAACAAAATTTTAGATAGCAATAATTCATTCTTTTTCAGAAAGTTAACACTAGAAAGACAGAAATAACTATATTGTTCAAAAGCAGTCAAATAATAATAACTGCATTGTGAAATAATAACTAATAGATAAAGAAATTTGTTCAAAATTAATTTTTAAAACTTTTGATCAATTTTGATTAATTTTTATATTTTCAGTTATATAACAAGTTATTTGTAAATATCAACAATAAAAATAATTATAAAAGTCACCAAATTCAAAGAAATTGTGTCATTATATACATCATTGCCTTTCAAATTGAAATTAAAAAGGCGTCAAAATGACTTCCTTGGGCAATCTAGTGTTAAATTATTTGATAAAAAAATTACCGTCAAAATGGAGTATAATTTGAGATTACCATTAAAAATTTGTAACAAAACAGCATTTGAGAATGTAATAATTCATTTACTAAATTACATTCTAAATTCATAAATAACTATTAAGCTATTCCACTCAAAAGAATATAACAAAACATAATTTCTGTTAGAAACAATTTTTTTATATTATATTTTTGTAAATTGCAACAATAATGTTAACGATTATCTAATCTATGAACACATCAACATCAAACGTATTTTTTTGTAAATTGCAAAAATAATGTTAACGATTATCTAATCTATCAACACATCTACATCAAACGTATTTAAATTAAATTAAATTTATTTTTAAATTAAAATATATGCAGAAATTTAGGGAACAATAAGCAAGAAAATGCATAAAATACATGAGGTAGTACGCTAATTTTATTTATTTCAAAATATAATCTCAGATTGGTCTTTATATTGAGCTAGTATTTCTCTTTCAACTGCTTGTAAATTAACTTAGTTAAAAATGCTTTTTTTTTTATTTATTGTTAATTCAAATCCATTATTTTTCTTCTCAGAACTTCAATTAATTTAATACTGTACAATGGACTTTTTTGATAGAAGTTAAATGATTTATAAATACATTATATATATATATATATATATATAATTTANTACGTTTGGAAAAAATTAAAATTTTATTTAAAATATTGGTTAAATGTGAAAAGAAAAACACACAATTTTAGGACGAACAAATTTAGAGCTCGCTGAACAGCTTGGATCGTCCCCATAGAAGCATGTGTGTCGTTCTCTCTTCCTCAATATTTTTAGACAAATAAAAAGAATTTTTATGAATCACCATCGACTTAAGAAAACAGAGTTAAAAACAAATTGTAACAAAGAGTTATTCATGTGTGAAATTTAAAGAACTATAGTATCTTTTATTTTGTACCATCCATATCTTTAAATCCTTTCTGAAATAAAATATTGGAGATACCAGAAAATGCAGATATTAAACTTGTACAAATAACATATTTTAATTTTACCACATTTGTATAAATAAAATATACATCATGAGATTAAATTAAATTGTTTCGTTGAATTTTTATAAAATAATACAAATTAAGACAAAAACAGAAATTTTCTATATATCTTTTCAACGAATTCAAGTTTTCTCGTCTCGAACGATAACAGAAATAAATATTACTCATTGCTCTGAATGGTTGACATTTAGCGCCATCTACTTGAAGTTATTTTTTTAGCATTTTTTTTAATTTTAAATAGAAGGAGCAATTTAGATTTCTAATGGACAGTTAGCGCCCTCTACTAGCAAAAATAGTAGCTATTATCTAATAAATGTGATTGCCAAATCGCAATGGCAAATTTTGCGTTTTGAGTTCCGAGCCGAGAGACAAATAATCTTAACAATATTTTCTTTTTAATTTAAATGCAAGTAGACACAAAAACAATCAAACAGAATCGAGCATAGTAAATAGAAAATGGATTATAATTCAAATTAAGTAATATTCGCGCAGCTTTTATTAACGTAGGAAAACTTATGATTTATTAAATTTATTTATGTCTTTAGAAATTCAAGCTTGGAGTGTTACTGAATATTCAAATCTTGCTCTAGTTCAAGAAGTTAAAAAACATGCCTTTATAATATTCTTCCAGAATATTCAAGGAAAGATATGACAGGCGGAATTTTGCAGGATATCGCCTATAATTTTGGTTGCACTGGTAATTGCAGTTTTTTTTTAAAGACTATTTATTAATTTTTTTAATTATAATTGCCTTTGATCATTTAAAATGGTGTAGCAAATGCCTTTCGCGTTTGGCAATTTTCTAAATTTAATGTTTAGAAATTTTCTAAATTAAATGTTTGGCAATTTTCTAAATTAAATAAATTAAGTGATATAATGTTGCCAGTGATTTTGTACCTACGAAGTTGCTCAGATTTATTTTTTTGTTCTCTTGGCGCTTTTTTCAAATTTTTTAAGAACAGCTTTGTATTTTAGGTAGGAGGGTACTAGACTTTTTATGCTAGCTCATTCCTCTTTTCAAAAATTACAGAATCGTTTTTTTTTCCAAATATTATTGAATTTAATATTTATTTTATGATAATTTTATTGAATGTTATTTATTAATTTGATTATTTTATTTATTGATTTACGTTTATTTACTAAATGTCTAATCTTTTCTTGAAATTGCAATGTTCTAAATTTAAAATTATCTAGTTTAAGATTCATATAATTTTTTTATGAATCATGATATGAATTTATAAAATGATAGACAAAGTTAAAGCTGCAAAACTTTCTATTGTTGTGCAAATTTTTTTTAAAATATAATTTTAGAATTTTTTTAAAGATTTAGAATTTTGATTATTTAGTGTTTTAATGTTATTGAACGAGTATAACTTTTTTTAGCATTGATAATTAGCCACTAAATAGGCATTGAAATAATTTACAAATGAGTGTTCAAAATTATGAAAATTTTCTAATGTTGAATTGCAATATATATTGTATATTAATTTCAATTTAAATATTCTAAATACAGTTAAATGCAATACTTTTTAATTTTAAAAATTTTGTTTAAAAAAACAACAGTAGCTTAGATTGAAGACTTTGAAAGTAAATAATTCTATGTTGTACACTATGTATGGACATCCTGAACAAGAGGGCAATTATATCCTTGAATCAGAGCTCATTCTAGGCAGGGTAAACAGGGCGCAGCACCCTGCTGCCCTTTTAGTCAAAAGAATCCACCCTGTTGCCCCTGAAGTAAATTAGTGCCCTGATCTAATAGACTCCATACCCTTTCTTTCCTCAACCCTTCTTTATTTTTCCCCCAAACTCTACAATGGATTTCTTAAACTTTTGTTATTTTCAACTCTTTTTATTTAGTTTGACATTGTTATTCAATTTCTTTTATTCTTTGAGTGAATTTCATCAAATTTTGAAAACATCTCTGTTCTGGTATAAGTTGGAGCTATTAAAAGATAATCTTCTTTTAAAAATTACATAAAATTTTTCGATTAATGAAATGATAGACCCAAGACAATTTTCATTCAAGAGTTAAACAAATAGTTTTAGAAAATATTTAGTATGACTAAAATTAATATAAATTACAATTACATCATGCTTTAAAATTAAGTATTTAGAAAGTAGTTGTTCAAGTGGCCAGTTAATTAAAATTTTTCTTTTTGCTTAACAAGAGGGGAAAAGAATAACAATTTCAAATTATTTATAATGCAAATAATTGACCATATATAACATCACGAAAGAAACCATTTGTCCTCTTTCTTTCTAGCATCACTTAGAAACAGTCATCTCACAAAAGAGTATTACAATGGATATTTGATGATCAGCCATGTCAAACTGATCATGGAGTTATAACACATGCCAGAAGTAATAGTTTTAGCCAAAGAAATATGTTACCATATGTGATTCTTGGTCTAATAAATTCAATTTAATAGATATTTGTCCATCACTATTTCTAAATAATTCGTAGGCTTATATAATTCACCACTTTATAATACTTTTGTCATGCTATACCTTTTAAAAAGTTACCAAAATTAGTCAAATATTTGCAAAATTTAGTTTGTAGTTATTTACCGCTTTTTAAATTATTTTGGCTTTTCCGAAGCAGTTCGCATCTCTGGTATTATTGAGATAAAAATAGCTAAATAAATGTATGTGATCTAATTACTTTTAGTATTAAATGTGTGACAGAACAATAGATATACTTTCAATACTTTATGTTGATTATATTTGAATGCAAATTAAGACTTATTCTCATACAATTGGCCATTAATCAATTCAAAAAGCTTTAAACACCAATGTAAATACCCTTAAATAGAATCAGAACATGATTTTTTTTCTTGTTAAATGTTATTTGTGAGATACTCATGTACGAAAAAAAATATTTTCTGCATTAATGACTTAGAAAATACAAAAAAGATACACAATTTTCAGCAATAATGTTAATTTTGATAAAGTACAGTATTTTTATATATTTATAAAATGCATATTAGAGCAGAAAAAACGACATAAATAACATGTACGAGCACAACATGCAACAACATAGTGATCCTCCACTATTTACTGAATAAAAATAAAATTAATGTGGCATAAATCTATCCCGATTTAAACTTTAGAAGACAAGTTTTTTACGAAAATAAAAGTACCATTAAAAAATGCAACATGAATTAAAAAAGATTGACCGACTTTGATATACTCTAAACCAGTGATTCTCAACCTTTTTTTTTGTGACGGCACACTTTTAACGATTTCGAAATTTGACGGCACACAATGAAAAAAATTAGTTTAAAAGTTATTTACTTAACTATAATACACTGTGTTAAATAGTTTGTGATAATAATTTTGAATGTGAAATAAAGTACTACAAAAGCACATTTATTAAGGGATTAATTATTTCTTTCGACTAATTTTTTATTAGTTAATAACAGTTATTTATGTTTTTTGCTAGTTATTAATTGTTCGCTTGTTTTCTATAGCTAGTTTTTTTGCTGATTATTAATTCTTGTCAACTAGTGTTTTTGCTGATTATTAATTGTTAGCTTATTTTTTGTTAGTTTTTTTTTTAAAACTTTTAATTGCATAGCTTACTTTAATGATTAGCCTTTATTTAAGTTTGAAAGTTAATATTTAGCTTTGCTTTCCTTTGATAATTAATAATTTTAATGATCATTAAATTTCCTACTTATTTCAACATTTTTTAAAATTGTCAACGACAATTTAAACACTTCCTTCTTATTTTAAGATTGTCAGAGACAAGACAATCGCTGACAAAGATGTTCCCGCGGTTAAAGAGTGGAAAAATTATAATATACACTTTTCTTTAATTTAAACTTTACTCGTAATTAAAAAAGCATTATAATTTTTACTGTATCATTTCTAATATTTGGCGGCACATTTTAAGAATTTGGCGGCACACAAAAGTGCCGCGGCACAGTGGTTGAGAATCACTGCTCTAAACCATAGGTTCCCAAAGTGGTCCAGGTGGACCCCCAGGGGTCCACTTAGACTTGAAAGGAAAACAGGGGTTCACAAATTTTCTGGTTTTCATAATAAAGAACAAAAATTTTGCCTTGGATTTACCTATCAAAGTAGGTAGGTAGGAACTCAATCACTCATTCGCTAGGTAGGAACTCAAAAATATTCGAGACTCAGTTCAAACACAGAATTGAATAGAGCAATAGATAATAGTACAAGTGTACACCACATGTCGAGACTTGCAAAGTGCCGCCCGTTTGCCCGCTCGCATTTAAATACCCTGCATGATGATTTAAAAAATAGATTTGAAGATATTCTGTCGATGGAAATACCACCATGGATCATAACCCAATTTGATGAAGAGGCGAATGTGGTTTTACTTGAGCTCAGCACTAACGAGGAACTGAAGGTGTAATTTATAAAAGGCTATCAAACATTTTGGCTGCAGGCAGAAATCCCCGAAAAATATCCTGGGCTGTGGGAAATTGCGAGAAAAATTTGGATAGCGTTTTCCTCATCATATCTTGTCGAAAGAAGTTTTAGTGCTGTTACCAACGTGTTAACAAAAAAAAGGGAGCAGATTGAACATCACAGAATGGGGAGATTTGAGATAACTTCTTACAAAACAGAAGCCAAATATTGATAATTTGCTGTCAATTCATCAAGTACATCTGTCTCATTAAAAGTATGACTATTTTTTATTGTTGATTTACATTTCAGAGTTCATTGTTTGTAATAATAAATGCTTATAATTTTGTATAACCGTAAGTATTATTTTAATAAATAGGACACAAGAAAATGTGTTACTTTTTTCTTCTTCTTAACATCCCCAATTTATGATATTTTTTAGGAGTTTTGTGAATACAGTAGAAATATAGCAGCAGGTGGTCTACCGAAAATAATAAAACTTTGAAAGTGGTCCACTAGAAAAAAAGTTTGGGAACCTCTGCTCTAAACTGTATTTAATATACATATCGGCTTTAAAATAAATAAATAAAACACTAAATCTTTTATAATATTAATCATTTTAATGCAGGTATTCCATACAAGTTTTTAATTAATTATGACATAACATTACAAATCACACGAAATATGTAAACAGAGTGTTACGTATTTCATATAAACAGAAATCTGTTAGATTACGGAATTTTTTTTTACTAAAATATGAAATCCAAAATAGTCTGAAAAAAAAAAAAAAAAAAAAATTTTTGATTTATATTTAAAAATTTCTTAATAATTGATTTTGCAAATTCAAAATGCTTCAATGATGAATAACTGTTTCGCAAAGATCTAAATAACTGCCTATCCGTAAAATTATTTTTTGGAAGTGAGCCACGTTTGAAAGACTTTACCTTTTACACAGAAAAAGACACGGTGTTTCAGGTTGTATTTGGTTACCATATATTATTAAAATGCTAAATATAATATTTTTCACTCAATCTGACCTAAATGAATACAAAGAAATTTAAAAAAAAAAAAAAAAAAACATGAAAAATATGCGTAATATAAATTCTGCGTCAAATTATTAACGCCATTGCCCAATTCATTTAAGTTAAGATGTATATTGAAATACACTCTATAACAAAAAAAAAATCGATGCACCAAGAAGGAGTTGTCCGATTGAAACGAAAATTGGTGGATAGGAAGACAATGTACAGAATAGTAAATGATTAAAATGTAAGAACAATTGAATAATTTATTGCAGAGTTACAGTAACAAGTTCAATAAGGTGTTGACCCGCTACCAGACGGCTTGGCATAGACCGATAAAGCTCTCGGGTGGTCTCTCGCGGTATTTCCTGACAAATTCAATCCAATCGTCGAACGAGGTCATCAACATTCCGTGCCAGGTGCAATTGCCTTCCCATCATATCCCAGACATGCTCGATGGGAGAGAGATCTGGTGATCTGGCAGGCCAAGGAAGAGTGCGACAAGCTTGCAGACAGTTCACAGCAACACGCGCCGTATGTGGTCTGGCATTGTCATGCTGAAAAACCAGCCCAAGGCGCTTCAAAAGGAACGGTAGCAAAACAGGTCTTAGGATGTCGTCGAGGTACCGCTATGCAGTAAGTGTACCTCTAATGACGACCCAAAGGGGTCCGGCTGTCAAAGGAAATGGCACCCCAGACCATAATGCCTTGTTGAGGGCCGGTGTAGCGTGCAATAGTGAAGGCAGGATCCCCCTCTGCCCTGTGCGCCTCCGATGATTGTCAGGACACACTTGGAAGCGGGATTCGTCACTGAAGACTATATGTCCCCAGTTGGCATCATTCATGCATACGAAATTTCAAAGCAATCAGATTATTGCTTCTTGGTGCGTCAATTTTTTTGTTGTAGAGTGTAGTACAAAATAAGTTACATAATAAAAAACAACATTCATGGAGTTCAGGTACTTGTTCGTTTAGATTAATCATAAACAAGTGACATGCTATTATTGTCGGCAATGATGCTTAATAGGGGCAATAGCAATTAATGAATTAAAGAAACAGCCTATTTACTAAAATGCCAAGTTACTGGTAAATTTTGATATCATGCCTAGTGATGCTTATAGAGTTCTCTATTTTTTCTTTTCCAATGATTTTCTTAATTTACAGGAATAAAAATTTTATTTGCCTCAAATAACTGCTCTAATAATTCAGAAGAGATCCATGATCCATTAGACATAATATCGAGCGGTGGGAGCAAAGTGCAGGTAAATTATTAGGACTTGAAGATAGTTTTGAAATAAATGCAATAATAATACTGTCATACGGCCAACCTCTCCTTAAAATTTTTATCCACTGTTTTTAAGCATTTATCTTCTCTTTTATGAATAAAAACAGCTAATGACTTAATTTCCAAAAATGAAACTCCATTATATTCACTTTTTACTTAATGAAATCCTGTTTTTCTAACTAAGCATTAGGAAGAACTGTAAAATTAATACCAGATGGTACATAAACTACTTTTGATATACCATAATAAATTTTGAATAATATTTGGCAACAAAATGTTTTGCACTTTCTCATCTTCAAGAAAATCAGTTAGCTGAGAAATATATTGTTTACTTTCAGAAATGCCTTTGTCTGTAAATGATATGAATGTCTGTAATGTATATGAATAAAAATTTGATAGATTCTTATCGTTTCACAGTTTCATTAAAGGAACAGCACAAAATTGTAAGGCAATCCTTCTGGTAGTCAAAAGTTTTAAAATTTATTGAATGCACTTTATGAATATGCTTACAAAGCAAAAATTTATCCTGGCAATCACAGATATAAAAATGGCTACACAGGACTAGGCAATCTATGCCACCACATACTCTCCACTGGATAGTTCTTAACACCACAGTAGAGTGCGAATCCTATTTAATTGCGCCCTGAATAGGAGTTGGTAACTGTTTATATCGTAAACGTTGGATTCGACGAGGCTCTAGAGCAGAGAAACTTTTTGCTCTGGGATCATCAAAACTATTTTCGATCTTCTGTTCTGGGCTTTTTGAGTGGAGGAGTTTTGACATCAACACTTCTTTTTTAAGAAGCTACATCACCACAGGCATCCACGTCTTTTCTCAGGTGGAGGTGATCCTCGAAGCCCTTCTTAATAACTTGATGTGAGCAGATCTTTGAAGAAGTCTTTCTGTCATCTTATTCAAAAACCTAGAATTTAAAAACAAAAAATTATTAAAAATTTTTCAAAATTAGAACTTTTTTATTTAAATGAATTTGATATTTTAACCAACTTTTACAACTACAAAAAATGAAATTAGATTCTAATAATATCAATGTTGAATACAATATCACAGGGGCAACAACCACTTTTTCTAAAAAACAATATATACTGTGTTAAAATATATGCATTTCACAGCATTGTTTTTTTTTTCTATGCAATTTGCATTTCGCACAGGGCATTTGGGCAGTTAAAAAGCTGGCAGTTTCAACAGTTTTAAGTTATCATATCTGCTTTACTTTTTCCTCATAATAAAAATATTTCATGAGAAGATAAAGAAATATCTCAGAAAATTTTTTCTCCAAAATTATCTATACATTATTTACGAAAAAATACATTGTCTCATTATACTGTGCATTTCGTCACTTCGCCAAATACGATAAATTCGGCGAAAGTATTGCGGAACGAGTTTTTTCTTCTGAAAGACATAGTCAACCGAACCTGTTTTTGTGCAGTATATGAAGATTTTAATTAAATTGGAATGTAATTGTGAAATTATCAGAAAAATTTTACCATTTAGTTTTTTAAATTTTTGATATGCATTTCATCATGTTACCTAAGAATTGTGTCAGCCAATTATATAACATATATATTGAATTCTATAATCGCATAATTGTTGAACGCATAAGAGTTTCCATGCAAATAAATTAAATTTGCAATTAGCATATTGCGATGGGATTCTTGTGCACCAAAGGAAGAATTAATTGATCAAAAGTTAGTTTCCCTGAAAAAGACCGTGTCTTGTTAGGAGTTGGTAGAAGTTTACTTTTTGTGATTCGTTTCTGATTGCGCCAGTAACAAATTTGCTAAATAAAGTGATTTCATAAAAAAGAATGTTACCGTGTTTTAAATCTAATATTAATCGACATCCTTTAAAATACTTTCACATTCCTGGACTATAAAGATAAGATTCCTTTCAAAGCGTAAGTTGAAATTAAATTTATTATTTTTTTTCAATTTAGATATAAATTATTAGGATTTCTATTTCATTTTTAGACCCTGAAAATGGATCAGGGGAAAAAACATTTTTTCGGCTGTGAAATTCGAAGTGATCGACTTTCTTCTGGCAGAACCCTGAGTTTATTAATGAATAAATTTCACTAACAATTTAATGAAAAACTAATAATTATTTTGAAAATATGAATTTATTAATTATTTTAAAATTATTAAGAAAATAAATGAAATTTTTTTTTATCAAGTTGTTTTGTCAATATTATATTTGTAGTGCATCTACCACTACAGAAATACAATTCCAATTCACTAGAATACTATAAGACAATAACTCGACAGCAACTCTCCCCATATTGGTTATGCGGATGTAATGTGAACACGCCTACCTTGACAGTAACTCCCATTTCGATATGAAAACGCCTATCTTGACAGTAACGCCTACTACGATGGATGGTCCACATTGAATAGTTGACTTGCTACTTGTGACTGCGACGTTATCCACCTCCTCGCACTGTTGCTACTCAGTCTCGATCACACACAATGTCGGCCTGCACACACGTGACTGCTAATGGCAACACAGGAGCAATCACGACCCTGAACTTAATACTGCTCTTACGGTCAGCAAAAGCACGGTGATCTTAATACAGCTCTCCCAGCTTCTCACAAAACAGCAATTAATTAGTGATATCTGTTCATCAAATCCTATCACAGATATAATTCTGGTGGGGACTACTGTAGTGCGTCTACCACTACAGAAATACAATTCCAACTCACTAGATTATATAAGACATATTAACTCAATTCTATGATGGGGTACCTTTTCATATATGAAGGTTGACATTTGCATACTATCATTAAACTATTTTTGCTGAAAATATGTACTCTCGTGACAAAAACATATTGTTTATTATACAGAAACACATTCTTAATTATAACTTATTTTAAAATTTAAAAACTAAAGTAATTGTTAAAATAAGAAAATTTAACTCTGATTTTATCTTTACATATTACCACTCTCTAACGATATACTACGTATTGTGGGGATATAATTATCGACCATCATCTATCAAAAGATACCTCTAGATAGAATCAAGTTGAATATGTCTCATATACTAGGGATTATCTCATATACTTTTATTTAATAATTGCAGCGGTAGTTACGCCACACTACTCCCCTTAGGAAACCATATCAAGAGTAATAAAAGGGTATTATTTAAAATAAGTATGAAAGTGATTGAAAACTTTGTCAAATAGCTAAAACTTTCAATAAAAAATGCTTTTTTAATTTATTAGCAGTTACAATTATAGCTGTGAGAGATATAAAAACAAATGTGGATAACTAAATTATTGCATCATGAAAACAATAAACGTTAAATGCAAAATATTGTAAAAAGATCATTTTTATAAAGTTATTTCGAACACCATCTACTGAAATGATTTTGTCCTTCGTAGGGTTTACCTTTTGCAGATAGGGTTTACCTTTTACCTGTCCCACGAGCCAGAGTAACATTGGCTGTGTTTTTTCTTTTATTTTGCTTGATTTCTCTTATTTTAAAACTGAATATAGTTTTTAACTCCTTTTAATTGCTTTGCTTTCAGTACCTAATGAAAGTTGCATTTTGAAGATAGACACTTTCATCGCTAGTGGTATTCTTTACATTTAGACAAAACATGATTTTTGTAATCTAGCTACCAGCATATGAAAATTTGAAAGAGGATGAGGGTTTCTGGTCTGCATATTTCTTTCTTTTTTTAATGAATTAAAAGATTTAATTCCAAATTCAAACAAACTACTAGTTATCTTATCTTCTCTTACAACCTACACCCATAGATATGGATAGATAAAGCAGAGGAATTTGAAGTTGCGGACATTCCCCCATAGTAAAAAGGAATCCGCAACCTTGCAAGCAGGGTTTGTTGATTTAAATCAAATGATTCTTTTAAAAAAATCATTGATTTAGAAAGTTAAAAACAGTGTTTTAAATTACTGAAACTTTTATTATTTCTTTTCTTAGTTTTAAAAATTTTAAATAAATTGCTACATTAATTAATTTTAGCTAACTAAATTACTTTCTTTCTTGGTATGTGTTAAATAATAACACATTTGAAATTACATCTGTAAAAGTCTTGACTCTTGAGATTGAAAGTACAGATTAAAGTAAATATTTAGGTATTTTTTTCTCATAATATGTTTACAGTATCTTTGACATTATCAGATTTTCTATAAAGAAATTTTGTGAAAAAAAAATTTCAGTGAGTACATAGATTTTTTTTTAGCTTAACTTATCTGTTTTGATATAGGATTAAAATAAAATATAAAATAATTTAATATAAAAATATATAGATTAAATACTTATTTATTTTTTTGATGAATGACTACATTTATAAACACAATCTCTTACATTTATTTAGTCCTTTTAAAAATCAAGAGAGAGAGGGAAAAAAAAAAGAAATCACAATTTTAAATTAAAATTATGATTTGGTAATTGAAACTTTGTTTTATAGTTAAGTATTCCTTAAATTCTCTATTTCATCTAGTCTTTAAATTTCAATCATGCATTTGTTTCAAAATAGCTGCTATGCATTCAAAGCTATGTACTATAATGAAAAATTGTTTTAGGTAGTTAGAGCATCTAAAATATTCTTATAATTTTAATATTAATTTAATTGAACATTTATAAAATTTTTTTTTGTCATAAATCAAAGTTCTTACAGTGTATTTGAATAAAAATCAAAAAAATCTGACTTTTTTTTTATTTTTTTAAAAAAAATCACAAACCCTGCTTGCAAGTGAATGTTAAGGAGAGGAGCATTGATTTCGCCATGTGATAAAATGAAATTTAAGGGGGAATTGGGATAAAATGAATTCTTTTTTGAAAATAAGTCCTTTAAAAAAAATTGAGTAATTTGAGAAAATAATAAAAATTGCCAGGGGTGTTTTAACCCCCAAATCCCTCCTTTTAACTACATCCTTGTTTCCTAAATTTTATATATGTTTCACAGATAAAGCAAAGGATTTTTAAGGAAACAGAAAAACTTTTTATAAATTAATTTTTTATTTTATTTACGATTTTCATAAAATACATAAATTTTACAAATAAAGAAAAAACTATGCAACTTAAATTCTAATTCATATTTTTAGAAAATTTATTATGATTTATTAATATGTACAAAATTTTATGTTATTTTTTACTATAATGCTTAATGAAATATAGAAAATGGCTTTCTCTAACAAATACTTTTGTTTAAACAACAACGTGAAGGACAATTTTTTTTTATTTGACTTATAATAAAATCGAAACAAAACAATTTTAAACACGATTAAAGAACTCTTCACTGTTTTTACGAAAATCCAATATAAAAGCTTACTACAAATATAAAATTTAATAAACAATATATTTTGTAAAAAAAAAGAAAACCTTTGTATTATGTCACTGAAATAAATAAAAATCATCTAATTTAAATACAGTCGAACCCCGCTATAGTGAACTGCCTGCGGACTCAGTAATGTGTCCACTATAACCGATGGTTCACTATATCCAAATTTTTTAAAGAATATTTTTTGCATACGACAGTTGAATGATTGAAAATCGGGTTTGCAATTTTACATAAGTTTAAAGCAAAAATTAATGAAAAAAGTACTTACTTCACTAAATACTAGTTCTAATTTTATTTTTTATGAAAAAAATTTTTGATTTTTGATTGAACACAATTTGATTTTAAATAGAGTTCATCAATTTTCTTATCTACAATGTGCAAAGAATGCAAGATTTTTTGATCTACATTTTCTGTAGAAAAAAACATATTAAGGACATTTATGGCTCATTTTACTTCAGCTATGATGGAGCTGAAAGTTCATTTTCTTCTTCAACATTTTCTTCTAATAAGTCTTCTCTACCTTCGTTCATTTGTTTTATTTCACTGACAATGTCATCATTGGTAGGAGTACCAGAAGTGCATACTTCATCATCACAACATTCATATTGCTCAATAACGTCCTTAGGGAAAATGTCCATTCCATGTCTTTTTAGCCATGGAGAGATAGGTAAATTTTCTTCCTCCTCCTCCACATTGGAATCTTTTCCTTCTAAATCTTTTGAAAGACCTGCATGTCGGAAACAGTTGCGGATCGTAGCTGATGTTACTTGTCTCCATGATTTTTCTAGCAAAACTATTGCTTCTAGAAGAGAGATGTTACATTCTGAGCCCATGTTTTTATCATAGTTATCTAAAATACGCATAACTAATTGTTTCCTATAGTGAGACTTCAAACTGCGAATGACACCCTGGTCCATGGGTTGCAACATAGAAGTCGTATTTGGTGGTAAAAATACGAGCTTAACATACTTTAGACTTTTTAAATGGGGGTGAGCTGTGCAATTGTCTAGAAGAAGAACAATTTTACGATTTACTTGTCGAAGTTCTTCAAAAAAATGGAGGTCATCCACGCTTTTTGATTAGCTTTGTAGTTTACGGGCAGTTTTTTAACATTTTTAAAGTACCTTGGTTTTTGAGATTTACCTATGACAGTTAGTTTTCGCTTTTCCGAGCCGTACAAGTTAGCACAAACAATAACTGTTATTCTCACTTTAGAAAGTTTCCCACTGGTGCACTTTTCTCCTTTAAATTTCAACGTCTGATTGGGAATCAATTTGTAAAATAGTCCAGCTTCGTCAGCATTAAAAATGTCTTTCTCTTCATAATTCTGTATAATATTCGGCCACACTTCAGTTTTCCACTTTTCCACATCCGTTGCATCAACACTCGCTTCTTCTCCGATAATCCTTCCTGAAGAAATATTATTCCGTTTTTTGAATCTATCCAGCCATCCATTGGAGCACACAAAATCCTTTTCCTCTAATTTTTCAGCAAACTCATTCGCTTTGATTTGAAGCATAGGACCTGTCACAGGAAGATTTCTATCCCGCTGAGTGGTGAACCATTTTAGCAAAGCTTCGTCTACGTTTTCTCTTTCAGCTCCACGCAGTTTTTTCGATGAAACCATATTTTTGTCGTATGCGGCAAGAATTGCACTCCGATTTTTCCAAATGTTTGAAACTGTAGATTTTGATAAAGAAAATTCCTTACAGAGTGCCGATTGATTTGTTCCATCTTCAATACGCTTTATAATTTTAACTTTGTCTTCTATCGAAAACGCTTTTCTCTTTAGAGAATTTGCCATTTTCACTGCTTTTGAAATAAAAATCTTGTCTCAAATAGATAATGTAAGAATATGAAGAGAGCAGCTGTAGAATGAGTTAAATTGTTCCCCTTCTTGATTGTCAAGGGGTGATTTGTAAAGAATATGGTTTGAACAGATAAGAAAATTCCAAAAATTCAGCAGGTGGCCAAGTTAACTAGTTGTAGAGCAAGCTTGGGGAAAAGAGATAAAGCGAGGCTTGTCAGGGAGGGGGGAGTATAAGATAAATGATCTGTTTGACATTTATTACAGTATAGTTAAAAGTGATAAGCATAAAGGAGAGTAATATGACACATTTTATAGGAATGCATTCATTTTCAGTCCCAACACCTACAAGTTTAAAGATGGAGGACTGAAAAAGATATTTAAAGAAATGAAATTTGAGTCCACTATAACCGAGTTTCCAAGTTCTAAGCTGTTCACTATAAGCGTTAAAAATAACATTATTTAAATAGGAATACGGACGGGACCGCTAAAAAAGTTCACTACATCCGAGTGTTCACTATAGCGGGGTTCGACTGTACAAGAAATTTCATTTTTAAACTTTAAATATGTTTCACAAATCAAACAAAAAAACTTTGAAAAATGAAATTTTTTTCATATATGATATTCTTAAAATATACCAATTTTTCACAAAAAGAAGAAAAAAACTATGCAATTTAAATTCTTAGGCGTATTTTTAGAAAATTTTATATAATTTATTAACGTTTACAAAATTTCATATAATTTTTTTATATAATGCTTTAAAACATACATCTGTTAAAAATCTTTAATTAATTAGAGTTACATGTAATTAAAATTTCCACGATGACAAATTATGAAATCTCGCACAATGAAATATAGGAAATGGCTTTCTGTAAAAAATACTTTTGTTTAAACAACATTGTGAAAGACAATTTATTTTTGACAAATAAAACTTTCTTTCCTTGGAAAAATTTATAATAAAATTGAAAATAAACATGATCAAAGAATTCATTGTTTTTAAGAAAATTCAATATAGAAGATTACTATAAAAATATACTTTAACTAACAATATATTTTCTAGGAAAAAAAAGGAAACCTTTATATTATGTCACTAAAATAAATAAAAATCATCTAATTTAAATACAAAAGATTTCATTCCTAAACTTTAGATGTGTTTCACAGATCAAAGTATTTTTATGGAAACAGAAAAACTTTGAGTGGATTTTTAAAATACATCAATTGTACATATAAAGAAAAAAAAACCATGCAACTTAAATTTTAAGGCACTGTATTTTAAGAAAATTTAATTTATAAATATTTACAAAATTTCATGTAATTTATTTTCATATATAATGCTTTAAAACATTGTCTTATTGTTACAAATAATTAATTAGATTAACTAAACTAAACTCAGTGGCGTGACAGCCCATAAAGGGCGATGGCCTACTGTGCCCATCTCAGTTTTCCTGATCTTTGGCTCTGGGATGCAGAAGCAGATGTTTCGGTCAGGCGATTAGCTGAAGGCAAAACCCCCAATGTTTGCCCGGCGATTTAACCCAGGACCAGTTGCACGAGAGAGCGAACCGCTACCACTGAGCCACCGGGTGTGTTACAAGTAATCAAAACTTTCATGACAAATTATAACATCCCACGCAACAAAATCTAGAAAATGGCTTTCTCTGACAAATACTTTTGTTTAAATAAGAAAAGTGAAAGACAACTCTATTTTGACAACACAGACACATAACAGATACAATCAATATAGGGTAATAAAAAGATAGATGGAATTTAAATAATCCTCTTCACGTAAGCTAACACTAAGCTTACTCCATCCAGTTACAGATTCTTATTTTGACATATCAGTAATTTGGACATTTGGCTGCTGAATTGTGGTAGCTAACGTTTCACCGAAATTTATCAGGTGTAGAAATAACAAGCACCCGAACTTATGCAGCAAGGGTGAAAGTTGATCAGACATAGTTTAGTCGTATGAACAAGCGGACCAAATAACTGTCATAATTAGTAAAAGGACCGTAAATTTGGATAGCATTCCAGCTATCCCCCCCCTTTTTTATTGCAAGAAATTAATTCGAAACAATTATTTTTCATAATAAAACCGTCTTTTCATATCCCCATATAAATTTTGTTTACTCAAAAAATCATAAACATAAGGGTCAAGGTTAAGAGAGTTGATATGATGCATCTCATCTTTCCACCATTTTACGATTTGGTTAAGAGAAGGAGAAGGTTTTGTTTTAAATTTTTGAATAACAAACAGGCAAGCGTAACCTCCACACAAATTTGAATTGCCTTGAAATTTTATATTATTGTAATTCACTCGACGATTCGATATAAATGATTGGAAATAATCCCCATATTCTATCGGGTGCCTTGCCTCAGAATCAAAGAATTCCAAATTATGTTCGTCCTTTACGAAAAATGCAACCCAATGCTTAATACGATCTCGAAAAAAATTTCGTCTGGTAGCGGTGTTTACAATAAAAGCCGAATTGTTTTCAAGCGATTCCGGTATTTCATCTGCCATAAAAACCCCTTTAAATATACCTGTTGTGTTGACAATTGAATTCACTACATCTTCTACTTCAAAGTTAGTCATTCCTCCAGTTAATTCAAAGTTGCTCATTTGTCCGTTTATAAAGATATCACACAAGAGACTTATATACATACCCTGAGATGAGGTAATAATGCTCTGTAAACCAAATTATAGTTAACCAAATCACTACAATTAATTTAATATAAGAAGGTTGAGTTACAAGTCAGATTAACTTAGATTGAAAGCAAATTTGAACTTCATATAAATATTTATCTGTTGCCAGATTTTCAATTCACCTTTTGCTGTTGAAATTTTATCGCCATCTGACGGGATTTTAACGAACGATTAATCCTCACTTCAGCCGGATCACGCTATTGGTCGAAAATGACGTCACTGTTTCGCATGCTGCGTATGGCATACTATTTTGGCGACAGATCTCAATTTGGCAACAGATTTTAGATTTAGTTTTCAAATGCGCTCTGTTTACACGTAATATTAATGTTTCTTGTTTTTATCTATTAATGTTTTCTTGTTTTTATTTATTAATGTTTCTTGTTATTATTAGTTATGAATCAGGTTGTTTGCGAACATTGCAAAAAATTATTTAAACAAAATAAAAATTTATACAAACATATAAGAAACGTTTATAAAGCTGATGTAAAAACTGGAAGTTAGAAATGTCCTGTAAGTGTTTGTGAAGTATGTTTCACAACTGGAATATTATTTAGAAGCCATTTATCAAAATGGGACCCCTATAAAATTTCAATTTACTTAATGTTGCTGTTCCGTTATGGTATTAAAAATTAAGAGTTGCAAATCTGTTGTGTATGGATCAGCTGTTTAACAGCAATAATAGAGTACGTGCTGCGAAAGTAACTGTGATTCTTATTTTTGTTAACTTATAGAATAGTTACAAAAATTTCTATTAAGATTTAAGTGGCGAGTTTTAAAAAACATCTATTATGTGTTCAATTTGAAGTATCAGTCATATAAAGCTTTATTTTCACTATTTCAAATTGCAGTGGGTCTTTTTGTACATTTGTGTGTTTAAATAAATTTCATTATGGTTATAACTGCTCCTGAATTAATGTGTTTGTATTGCCATTTTGAATTTGTTGAATATGTAATATTGCAGTAGAATTTGAATAAACTGTGAAGATGAATTTTTTTTTCACACAGGTTTTTATTTTACACAGATTTTTTACAATGGAAAGAGGCAATTGAGGTTCAATTCAGGCCATCCTACTATTCCAGTGGTTCAATTACTTTGGCAAATGGTTTTTAAAAGCGATACTATTCTTACATCAACAGCTTATGGGTTTAGAGCATCCAAATCATAAGGAACTTGTAAAAGCGGGAAATGCTGCCCAACAATAATTGAAGTCATAGAGAATCTATGTCACTTTTTATAAAGCTCATGTTGGCCATGAAAATGAACTGAAATATCTTCCTTTGAGTACATCAGCGAAGAGTGAATTAGCAAGTGAGTGTTACTTATGTCCATAACTTATATTTTGAATTAGTGATAATTAAGCTGTGAGTAAAGTGTTAACTGAGAATGAGTAATTTTTGTAAGTTACATTTTATTCACAAAATGCAGTTTATAATATTTCTAGTTAGCGTAAAATTTAGAAAACAAACTTAACGATTGCAACGTTCGTTTATGCCAGGATTGTAGTCTCCACCCTGTGTAGATGCATAGGGATATACTATACTGTTCGAATTAATTGGGACAAATGAAAAAAAAGTGATTTATTGAAACTTTAGCTTTTAATCATTACATACCTTAAGTTACATTGATACATGTCTGTATTAATANTAGGGATATATGTACTACATGCTTTGTATCCTTTTCAGAATTCTTTTAATTAAGATTATCAAAAATGATTTTTAGAATTTTCATAATGCTTGCTTTAACAAGAATGCTTTCTAAATTTTTATCAGATTTTCAAAGAATTGAACTTAAACAATATAATGAACAGTTATTTGAGAAAAATCTTATCTATATTCAAACAAATCTAATTATGATAGAAGAAAGTCTAATTAGCCTATTTTTGAGTTGTTAAGAACAAAGTACTCCTATTTCATTTTGATTAAATTTAGATTATGCATTTTTATCGTGTATTAAAAATTCCATCTAAACAAAAAAAATTTGATTTATAATCTAATATTTTTAATTTGTACCAGAATCGAAGTATCCTGAATTAAAAAAGGCTGCTTGTGAATTATTTCAATATTCAGAAAAACTTACTTATGTAAATCATTTTATTTCGCTTTAAAATTCGTGAAATCCAAATACCGATCAGTATTAACTAACCAGCATCTCAAAGAATTACTGAGAAGTGTTGTCACCAATTATTCACTAAATTTTAATAAAATATCAAGAGAAGTAAAATAAATGTGTTTAATTTTTAATATTTAAAGTCAATACACATATTTTGTATTTTTATTTATATATTTTCAATAAATATAATTTCTGTAAGAAAAATTAATACATTTTTTGCATACCTTTTAAATATATATTTAATTGCGGCTCGCAATAGATTTCAACTTTTGAAAAATAGCTCTACTATCAAGAAGCTAGGCCACCCCTGTTCTATAATATCATTCTGACTAAAGTGGGCCATTATCGCCACATAACAGTTTGACATTTTTATCATATGAACCACTGTGATGCCACAATTGGCATTACATATTTCCTAGCTTTTAAAATATCTTTAATTACTTAAACTTACTTTTTTTTTAATCGTTATTTTTTTCATAATCTTTGTAAAAGCGAACAAAGATTATTGTTGTAGTTAATTTACATTGCACAATGGGCTATTGGCGACGGGCTTTATAAAGATAAACACATTGATTTAATTTAAATGTAATTTGATTAATAATGATTTTGAAAAAAGTAAGTTTAAGTAAATAAAGATGGCATCACAACTACCATCTATGATTTTGTTTTCTTAAATTGATAAAAAATGTAAAAGTAAATTCTGAAAAAAAATTTTTTGTAGTTTTTTACCAGAGCTTTTTTAAAAACTTTTTTATGGAAATCTGTAACATGACTGCTTTGAAATTTTTTAAAAAATTGATTGATTTCAATTGGAAAGAGTCTACTTTGTTTTAGATTTAATACCAATTTTATGATTTTTTTCTTTGATTATAGACTTGAAACTGAAATTGATTTTACTATTCTCTCATTTATCTTTGTTTTCTTAGCATATTTAAAAGAGCCTTTGTAACCAATTAATTAATTAGTGAATAGTTTATTCATAAAATATTATAAAGTGATCATAAATTATTTCGAATTTTTAATAAATGAAGCTAATTGTTTTCTTTTCAATTTTAGAAAAAATTTCTGATGGAATTTCTTTGAAGCAGTTATTGAATGAATGAAGAAATTCCGTAACTGACAATTTTGAACGAATTCATCTGTTAACAAGACAAGATTTATGAAATATTGGCAATGCCAATTGCCTTTTTAAAACAGAAAGGCGGCATGAAAATGTCTCGATTAGTGTAGATCTGTTCATCGAGGAGATGAAATAACTCGGAGAGACTTCCCCGGTAGTTTTTTGTTAAAAACAAGGTGTGTCTTCACACAAACTAAATCTGAACGACTTTTGTTTAGTAAGTATGCAAGGAAATATGTTGATATAATTCGGAGGTGAAAAAATCTGCATAGACTCATCCCATGGGTTGAATGAATGTGATTTTCAATTGACTACGTTGATGGTCATTGATGAATATGGAGCTAGATTTCCATCTGCGCACTGCGTATCGAACTTATGAAATGGTTCGTATGAAATGGCTGCGTATGATACTTATGAAATGGAACTCTTTTTCACTGTCTTGAAAGAAAAGAAATCAACAATTCTCACCCGTGTGTTCATGTTAGACTATACCCCTTATTACTATAATGCATGGGGAAAAGTTATGGGCAAGACTTAAATGTGACTTTTATGTACGTGGCACATCGATGAAAATTGGAGAAAGATGTTGTGCAGGATAGCGTCAACAGACGGAAAAAAATTGCAGTCTACGGGTATGCTAGGAATCTTATGGAGGAAATAAGTGCCGAAAAAATTTGTGAGAATGTTGGAAGCATTTTTAAAACAACTAATGGAAGATGAAGATACAAGAGCTTTTGGGAAATATTTTAAAAATTATTACTCTGGGAGATTTGAGGTATGAGCATACTGCCACAGAGTAAAATGCAGGCATAAATACTAATATGTATTTGGAAGCTCTCCATAAAGTGATTAAACATGTTTACATGAAAGGTAGAAAATGTAGGAGGCTTGATGCCTGCATTGCACATCTGCCCCAAATTATAAAAAATAAAAGATCGTTGTGTGAAATTAATTAAAGGGGCAAATTTTACTAAGATAGCAGATATTCATATCGGACATAAAAATAAGCTGAGTTTTTTCAAAAGAAGATATTGAAGAAGTTGACACAACTACCTGGAAGGGGAAATCCAAAAGCTGCTCAAGAAGTTCTTACGTTGTTAAAAAAGAACAAAATGAATGTGATTGTAAATTGTTTTGTAATTATTGTAAAATCTGTATACATTGTTATCCCTGTTCATGCATTAATTTCATTGTTAGAGCAAATATGTGTAAGCATATACATGCAGTGGGCATAATTTTTAAAAATGTCGGGGAACCTTTACGAGAAAAAGAATTTATGGAAAGTGCACAGTAAATTTAGATAATTCAAATAATGATAAAGATAATAGTCAATTTAAAACAAAACTATCTCATGCCTTAAGGCTGTTAGATAATAAAACTTTAACTGATGAGAAAAAAAAAACAGTTAAATAAACATCTTAATGCAGTTATTAGGTTAATAGAAGATGATGAAACGAAAACAGATAAAACAGTCGGCTCTGAACCTGTAATTAAAAAAATTACACCTCAACCAAGATTTTACTGAACTAAAAAGAGAGGATTAAACAGTAGTTTATCTATTTCTAAACCTAGTAATGATTATAAAATACAACTGAAATAAAACTGAATCAGTCTTAAGTAATATCAAGTTAATTAATTTGCATGACTCAAATGTTCATTCTTACTGCAACAATAACATTTAAAAATAAAATGACATGATTATATTTTCAATATTATTTTTGATTACATATATATTACCATATATTTAATTTTAAAATAAGTGGAATAAAACTACTATTTATCTTTTTAGTAATTTCACAATTTTTTTAAAGAACTTTTTGACTTCACCTTCTAGGTAGTATTGTCAACTTTTTCAATTTCCTTGTAATGCATTGTTACATAAAATGTACTGTTATGCCTTGTAATGTTTCACAATGTCTAAAATAAAAACTTTCTTTTGAGGTTAAAGTTAGTTTCCATAAATAATTGTTTTTACTGAAATAAACATCTTTTAAAAATCTGTGTAGTTAATAATTAAAGCTAATATTATTTGAATAAATGAAAGTAATGGGCACAAATTAGTAAAAGTAGCTGTATTACTTCAGTTTTTTTATCATTGTTTTTCTCTATTTTGTATAACGTTTTGTAATCGGCCATTGGAAATTAAAAAAAATCGAAGCACAAGTAAAATAAATATCTTATTATAACACGAGTACTTTCTACTATATATGTAGTACATACTTTCACTCAAGGTATTTGTGTCAATTTAGTGATAGTATTATTTACATTAACTCTAGTGTTTGATATGTAAATGTTCCTGGGAGTGCATTGCAAGTTACGAAATTTAAAAAAATTTAATTAATAGAATTTAATACTGCTAAAGTAATAGTGTTTAAGCTGGGCAGTTATATATATATATAAATCTGTCAAGTTAACTGCAATCACGAAAGTGCCGAATAATTTTTAAACTTGCAAATTTATTTTTAAAAAATATGTAGATGTTTGCGGGGATGGCTAAAAATTAAACCTTTCAAGTTATTCCCTTTCTGTGATTTTTTTTTTTTTTTTAAGTTTGTCGCTGGCTGTTGCCCGTAAGTTGCCAAGATTTTGTAATTATTCGGCCACACACGAAAATCTTCCAAATTAACATGTTTAAGACATATTATTAGAAGAATAAAATCGTGTAATATAAATCTATGATTAAAAATAACGAATGAAAATTAATGTATTTTAATTTATTTTACTATTCTGATTTATAATAACATGTGAATTTTACCATAATATTATTAATGTTGGAGTAGTACTGGTTCTAATTGCATCACGTTACCATTTCTGTGAAAATGCTTAAGTTTTTTCTTTCATTTGAAGAGGTTGCATTTTATTGAATATTTTGTTTTTTTCTTTTCATTACTTAGCAGATATAAGATGGTATAAAATTTTTAAATATGTTTTTAAAGAATAATGTAGTTAGTGGTAATAGAATTACATATTGGGTAGCACAATTTTGCTATTTTACACTTAAGAAATTTTTTTTTAATCAGATTATAGAAAAAGCAAATTTAAGTCCGTTTATAAAGCTCTTTTTCTTTAATTGCTACTTAATTAATTTTGTTCAATTCAATTTCATTATATATCTTATCAATAATATTTCTCATCTCTCAATAGCAGTTTAGCTGACTGTAGAGATCGTCAACTATGTTAAATATAAGTTTAATCTGTGTAATTGAATCTACACAAATAATCAAATGAAGGATATTAAATCAATTAACCAGTATGTTTTAAAGAGTAATATTGTTTTCAATTCTGATGTTAATTATAAAATCGGAATGTGAAAAATATAACTTGAAATATTTTAACAGATTTTTTCTGACAAAATTGTTTTAAGTAGGAACAAATTAGATTTGACGATAAAATTCATTGTCATCTTCTTACATATCATATTTTGTTGGAATTTCACTCTTTCGTTTTCTGTTTAAAAGAAATAACAAGTTTATGTTACATTGGAAATAAGATAATTTTTAATTTTCTGTAGGTTCATAGTATCTTAAAAACACGTAAATAAGTTTTTTTTGGTGAACTTTAATGATGGAGATGAACTGTACTGTTCAGTTCTTGCTAAATAGTCACCTATATCCATTCAGTGCACCCAATTGCTAAAATAAAAATGCATTCTATTATTCTACTTTTAAAAAGTGAGTCTACATTATCAGTACATTTATAAACATCAAGGGTGTCTTTATGTATCGAAAGAGAAAAAAGTTCCAAAATTTTCTACTTCGTATTGGAAAATTTATTTTAGAAAATTACTCACGTTAAGATGTAATGCTGTGTTGCAAAATAATACTTAAGTGTATAAACAATTTAAACTATCTTTCTTTTTATTTATGAGTTTATTTTTACTTTTTCCAACTTAATTACTAATCGATAAAAAAGTAGAACCTAGTGATTTTCAAGAGTGTAAAAAATGTATGTCAGTTTGAAACTTTTAAGATTTTTGCATTTTTGGTTAATATTTGGTAATTTCTACCACTGTGGGGAAAACTGCCCTTGGGAAAATTAACTAAGCTACCTTTTTTTAAAAGTTTAAATCAGGGTTTGTTGATTTAAATCCAATGATTTTTTTTATATATATATTGATTTTAAAAGTTGAAAAACAATGTTTTAAATTATTGATACTTTAATTATTTTCTTTTCTTAGTTTTAAAATTTATTTTAAATAAATTGCTGTATTAAATAATTTTAGTTAACAAAATTATTTTCTTTCCTGATGTATGTTAAATTCCAACACATTTGAAATTACAATTTTAAAAATCTTTTGATTCTTGAGATTGAAGTAAACATTTAATGCAGTCTTAATATAGACTTGCATAACTGTAGAAAGTAATTAATAAACATGAAATCTTTTCCAAGAAAAATGCAAATAATGTTAATTAAAACTCTACGTTTTGATTGAAAAAGCATGGAATTAAAATCTACATTATATTTTATTGGTGGAAAATGTATATTTCTAAAACTTGAGGTTATATTAAAAAGAAATTCCTCTAATAGGCCAAAAATATACTCTATATGCCTTTCAAACTGTTTCAAAGTCTATTTGATGCAGTGGGATTATTAACTGATAACTGGTATTTTTTCTCATAATATGTTTACAGTATCTTTGACATTATCAGATTTTCTATAAAGAAATTTTGTGAAAAAAAAATTCCAATGAGTACGTAGATTTTTTAAAAAAATAATTAGCCTAAATCTATTTTGTTATAGGATTAAAAATGAATATTTTAATATAAAAATAGATAGATTAAATATTTATTTTTTGATAAATGAATACATTTTATTTATAAACACAATCTGTTACATTTATTTTGGCATTTTAAAAATCAAGAAAAAAAGATTTAAAAAATCACAATTTTAAATTAAAATTATGGTTTGCTAATTGAAACTTTGTTAAAGAACAGGGAAAAGAAAATGGTTAAAGAACAGGGGTCTGTCCAAGTCAAATTTACTACCGTTTAGCGATCCCTTCACAGATTCAACTTTAAGAAAAACGGCAGTTTCACAAAATACGTTTTTTTTTTTAAATTTTATTTTTGAGTCTCGTAAGAAACGATAAATTTATATTTTTACCATATTTTTGTGTTGATTTTTAAATACAATTTTTAATTTTCACAAAATATGTACCTCTCAGAAAAACCTAGACAGACCCCTGAAGAATTCTTTAAATTCTCTATTTCATCCAGTCTTTAAATTTCATTCATGCGTTCAAAGCTATGTATTAGAATGAAAAATTATTTTAGTAAGTTAGTGTTTCTAAAATATTGTTATAATATAGTTTTAATATTAATTTAATTTTTTGATTAAACATTTATAAAGTTTTTTGAATCAAAAATTAAAGTTCTTACAATGTATTTGAATAAAAATCAAAAATATCACAAACCCTGGTTTAAATATATGTTAATGGTGTTCTTTACGGAGTATTGCAGAGCAGACTTTTTAGAATTCATTATTTGGTCCTGAAATTTTTGTTACAATAAATTTCTGTTGTAATATAAAATTTAATTTTAAACAGGGTTGGCAGGTTTTTGACATGTGACAGTTTTTGACAGTTTAAACCGTGGTTTAAACCGTCACGTCAAAAACCTCACTGTCAAAAATGTCGAAAATGTCAAAAACCTATATTCATATGTGAAATTTAATTAATACATAAAATTTATATATTTTTTAAAGGATAGTGTTTCTAAATATGTTCTAGAAAAAATAAATTTTAAATTTTGAAGAAACACTTATATTTTGAACAGTAACCAAAATCTTGTACTTTTAAAAGCTCACATCTTTTGTAATATTATGTATTCATTTTCATGTGTTATTGAAAATCTGCAGTGATATTATTAAGAAATTTATTTATAACCAAATTTAGTGTATAGTATAGATTATACTAAAAATTAGACATTTTTAAAGATAAACATTAGCAGTTTTGTACATTAGACATCTTTTAAAGAAAAATCTTTTTAATATTCTTTTAAATCTTCTTAATAATCTTTTTAACATAAGACAATACAAATTTAAGTGCTTTCTGTTAAATACACAGAGTAGTTAGTGTCGATTTACAGTATATTCAGCCTATTCATTTACTATGCTGAAAATTTAGTTTATCCAAATACTTGTGAATTTCATTTTGCTGAATACTATATAGTTTTGTTGAATATCTAAATATTCAGCTGTTGAATAATTACTTCTTGCTTTCAAGATATGCATTATTTGTATTCTTAATACAAGTGGGGGAAAAAAATTAAGAGGTAAAAATTGTTTTAAAATGATAAGTGTAATAATTATAAATAAATATAATAAACAATATGAATTATATTTATCATTATTCACAAATATAACTACTTTTAAATTCAAATTAACATACTGGATAATAAAGATATTCGGTATAACATTAAAAAAAATTTTTATACACTTGTATCAAGTTTGTATTTATACAACATAACTTGTAAGTTCCTTATAAATATTAGTTATATGTTCCTTATATGTCAAAAATGCATAGTAATAAACTTTTAATTTTCTTAAGTATCAAAAAAAAAATTTTTTTTTTCAAAATATAAATATTTAAAAAAATTTTGTGCAAAATTTTTCTGCACATGCATTTGAATATAAATTTCTGAGATTTTAAATCTGTTATTTTACCTTAATTTTAATTAAAAAATATTTTAAAACCTGCTGATTACCTATAGTATAATTAAATTTCAATATAATGCATGGCAACTGTTGGTAGTTTTGAAGTTTATATATTTTCTTGGCAAACTTCAGTTTTTGACATTTTTGACGGGTTTTTGACGGTTTAAACCAGTATTATACCCTTGTCATGTCAAAAACCACTTTTTGACGTCAAAAACCCAACCCTGATTTTAAATGAATAATTTTTTTTGAATAAGAATGGTACGCCTATAAAAAATTCAAATATTGATATT